CAGTCACATCTCTTAACTGTCTGCCCCTCATCCTCCCCGCCCAGCCTGCTGATCTGTTTCCAAATATACCCTTAATTATGTATATGAAAATGGAGAAATATAAGAATAGCACACAGTGGCATGTTCAGGTTTCTAGTCTGTTTTCATCAGCATACCACGCTGTTCTGCAGAGCAGCAGAACAGATTAAAAATCACAGAATTTTTTTTTCTGGCTTACTGCTTCGGGTTTTGCAGGCACTCATGGAATTCCCAGGACACAAATTTCTTTGTTACTCCATGGCCTCGGCATATGCTGGAAGATGCTAACGTAATGTGCAGAACTACAACATGAGCTAAATTGAAAAAAAAAAAAAAAAAAAAAAAAAGTCCCCAGTACGTGGTTTGACTTGTAATACTCCAGTCTGTAGGGCAGCAGGTATCACATTTCAAACTGTTCAGATACAATTGCCTAATCTTCACATTGTAATTCTGGAAACGAGTGGTATCACAGATGTCTCAACCTTTTTTGGCATTTCAGTCATTAGTGGGTTATTTTTAAAGCATGCTCAGGCCTACACCATACTTAGTATCATTTTTAATTGCTATTCAAATGCTGGATATTGTATAGATGAATTGGTGAAACAGGAAGAAGATTACTCCAGGGTCTGTATGGGGGTGTCACTGTATAAGAAATGAGTCCTTAAAACTGCACATGGATTGGGGTAAAGTCAAGAGTGCACTAAAAGTATGGTACAAATCAAGATCAGTAGGCATCAGATCTGGTTCCACTGTCTTTGTAGTTTTTGTTTCCTGTAACTACATATAGTTGCCTCAATATATATAAAGATTGACAAATATAGAATAATACAAAAGACCTTTATATAATATCGTAAGAACAGGCTAGCTCTACTTCCAAACGCCTTCCAGCAAGACAGAGAGAGGTGCATTTTTTTACTACTGTTTCTATAGCCCATGCAACTCTATGGTTCCTTTGGTGGTCTGCTCTGGCAGACAATATAAGCAGCATGAGTAGCTAGGTCTTTACCACTGAAACGCATTCAGAAGTCAGTGCAGCTGCAGACCTCATGGACTTTTACTCAGTGAGCACTGCAAGTTTCCTAATACAGCTTTACACACATTTTTTTCTTTGGACTGGGTGGAGTTCAGAAAGCAGCCAAAAACGTTGTGTAATTTTCTGTTAAGATCAGTTGAATTTTAATCTTGAACGTGATGTTTTTCCATCATCATGTGTAACTCTAAAGACAAGTTATGTGATGTCATGTGGAGCTAGAAAAGTTACAATTTAGTGGGATTTGGAACATGGAAATCCAAACCTATTTAAAATTGTAAAAAACAACAACAACAACAAAATACTCCTTATCTTTTAAAGGCATCTCTTGCCTGCCTTGCTGAAGAGTTAAGAAGCCTGACCTGCTGGTAATCCTCATAATGCATAGAAATACTGCCGCTGCCAGGGCATAGCATTAAGACTCAGAATATACACTTTCACATGCTTGACATGTTTCCTGCTGTATTTAAGGTATTTGATAACATTTCCACATTAATTTATAGGATCAAATTCTGCAGGTATTGTATAAAGGTAAAATTCTGACTTCAGCATTGCCTAAAGATGGAGCTCAAAATCTTTATTGTGTTGTGTACAGCCACTTTCATGGTGAAAGCTCTTTGTTGAGTACAACATGTCCATGCTTATGCAAGAAAGTTATACTGTGGCTGCATGTGCCCTAATGAGATTAGGCAATCAATTCATATGATCTCTCATTCTGTTGATTGCTTTACTACTGGTAAAAGGACATTAATATAACTTACCTGCCCAGGAAACCACATCCCTTCTGTTTGAGAGACGAGACTGATGACAGACTGTGAATTTCCACATGTGGTTTTGGAGCAGCAGCTAGGTCTTGTCTTAATTAATGCCTCGCAGCAACTTTGTTCCAGACTGTGTACTAATTTTTTATGAACAATAATGACTCTCATATCTTCACACAAGGTATCCAGCATTTCCTCACAATACAATTTTTCTTTGAGAAGGTACTGCTAAACCTCAACAAAGCTGGAGAGCACTCTAGAGAACTTACTACCACTGCTAGAGTGATGTGAACTGTCAGAGAGTGCATGGAGGGGAAAACCACTTGGCCAAGAAACTTAAAGGCAACTACCAAGAAGATACCAAATCAAGCCTAGAGAGGACTGAGAGGAAAAAATAGTTCTTAGGAAGGAGGAGAATGGGAAACAGTAAAGAAATAGTGGAAGAAGGGCCACACTTTCTTTGGCTTAGCACCCAAATCATCACCACCATCATCAACATCAAATCAGGCAAGTGAGTAGGAACCTGAATGTCCTTGTCCAGATGTGATGTGTAGTGAGGAGAGGGGGAGATAAGTAGTGCAATACCTTCATCACTTGATTGTTAGTGGTGGATAACACAGATCATACACAATCCAGCTCCAGAACCTCTTCTCTCATTAGAAACTAAACTGTCATGCCTACTGCTGGTTACCAAATGCTAGGCATAGAGAGGAGCAGCTGATACCATGCTAACTAATCATCAGAAAAGGTACCATTTTCTTGTGCTTCAAGCTGTTGTCAACAGCAGAAGCAAAACATTGCACGTTAACTCTTGCCTTCCTTGTCTGAAAGGAGTAATTTCATGGGGCAGTCCTTCTAGTGAAGAACATTTGCTGACACCATTTGTAATTAAAACAAACACAGAGAAAATTAACTTGGGCAAAAGAAAAATCCAAAGGCCATTACCTTACCAAAAAGAGATGCCATAGCTCGGGGTGAGACACTTTGATTCTGCAGGTCAGATCCAGCTGTCAGACCATGTCTCAGTGCCCTTCTTCCCAAGGGTCCCAAAGTCCTCAAAGAAGTTTATCTGTTGTATGACCAAAACATAGGGAGAAGACTAGTGAATCTGGTGACACAAGAGGGATGATTGGCATGTCCCACCACAGGTAGGAGCATATCTAACAACAGATGACTGGATACCTGACAAACACAGCCAAAATATAGTTGTTTCCCCTTTGTTCCACATTTCTGTCAGCAGGCTGAGAGATGAGTCCGTGACAGTTTACAGAAGGCTGAAGAGGACATTGAATGGATTTGCATGGGGTTTTTTAAGCGACAAAACTATATCCATTAAACCACTTGGTGGTGTTTTTATTCTTAAAAACATTTGTGGGGCCCTAAGTTTTGTAGGCTTTAGGTCAGGGGCAGCCAACTGAAAGCAGTCCTGTTTGTCTTCACTGCCTTTTGCAGATCGCTTAGGAGGTGGTGGTCATTGTTCTCCATATTAAAATCTCCTTTGTGTACAGATACAACCATTGTATTATGCATTGTAGTTGTAGGTGTAACTAATGAAATCCACAAAATGAGAACAATTGCTCTAATGAGCCTTGGTCTTTCTCCTAAATAATCAAGGAAAGATCAGGGACACTTGCTTTCTCCATGTTCTTGAACAAAATCCTATTTTAAAAAAGAACTGCCTGTATGTTCATTGAGACACTATTTGAGGTTTGGCTGAGGTAACTTGGAGGCTTCATAAACAGAGGGGAAAAGAACCTACATCTCTTTTTCTGAGCAGGAGCCTCCTAAGTAGATCCTGGAGATAAATGTTATGTCAAAATCCATGAATTTAGAACAGTTTATTGGCTGCTTAGAGTGAAGGCTGGCTGGGGTCAATTTTGCTATGAGATAATTTTAATTAAAATGTATTGAATTTCTCCATGAGGCTAATTTATTTACTTCCTATTTAAGTGCAGTATGGGGAGAACTTTTATTTCTTACTTTGGCACAGAATTTTTATAGCTCTCTGGGCCTCTTGAACTGGCTATTCAGCATTAAGCTTAGTGCAAGTAGGAAGTAATACAAATTACAACTACAAAACTACTACTAAGTCCTTGTATTCACAAAAGAATAAGATGATCTAGATTAATAACAAATAAAGAATATGTGTTGTTCAGACTCTGTGACAGTAAAACCCAAACTGATATACAGCAGTAGTAGACAGCACACTCCATGTGTTGATGTTTTCATTTTTTACAAATGGAGAAAATAAGGATAGAAACAAACAGTACGAGTTGCCCAAGGCTATGCAGCACATCAGTGATGAAGCTGGGAATATATTCCAGATACCTGTCTACCTACCAATGCTACTTCTGTCTGCGACCTGTGCTCACCTCCAGTGCTTGAGCTTCTCAAGGCTGCACATCTACCACAGTGGCCAAGTGCAGACCTCCAGCACAGCCATGCAATGGTATGGGCATCTGGCCCTGTGAGAGATGTTTCCCATGTCTGAGATCTGTTGAGAAATGCAGCAGATCACCAGACTGCTATTTCTTTGAGCTCACCAGTCCTACCAGGTCATGGTTTTTAGGTTAACTATTGATAAGAAGGCTGTTGCCTTCAATGTGGCACGTTTACCTAGTTGAAACACAGTGCTCCTTGCCTCACTTTTAAATGAGACCTAAGGCAGTGAACAAGAGAAACTAGTAGAGAAATACCGCGCAGGTATGACTGTGGAGAATATAAGGCAAGAGCCTGACATCCAGTGCCTCATAATTGCCATTTTGCATTTTCACCATAATTGTTTTTAAATAGCTGAAGAGAGACTTCATCACACCTTCTGAACTTCAACCTTGAGTCAGACAGACATAGGGACAACTTGGACAAATAAGGGAATATTCTATAGAGCTCAGTACAGATGCTGTCAAAGTCCAGAAATAAAGAGCAGACTTCAAGAGATATGAAATGTGACATCCAAGCATCCCTGAAGATCCAGTTATCAAATAAGGTATCACTAGTTTGATTTACAGTACTTTTAAATCGGTTGGAATACCACAGTGGCCTCCTCTCTGGGAGAGAGTAACTCTTTCTCCATCCAGTTAGTGCCACGTGGCATCTGCCTTGCTCCCAACCTTTTTATTCTAACTTTTGTGTACAAAAAACCATGGAAGACATTGCTGTCCCTTCTAATCATGCCACGTTTGCTTCCACAGGTGAACGGCCTTTTGAATGCAACTGGCAAGGATGCAACAAGAAGTTTGCTCGTTCTGATGAGCTGGCCCGGCATTACCGCACTCACACTGGAGAAAAGAAGTTCAGCTGTCCTCTCTGTGAGAAACGCTTCATGCGCAGCGACCACCTGACAAAGCATGCCCGTCGACATGCCAATTTCCACCCAAGCATGCTCAAGAGGCGAAGTGGAAGCAGCTCAAGAACAGGGTCTGTCAGTGACTACAGCCGCTCAGATGCCTCAAGTCCAACGATTAGCCCCGCCAGTTCCCCGTAGACCTACCTGCACTGGATGTCAGCACTTTGCCTCTAATACCTAATGTGGAGTTTTGTGTTGCACACATTTAAGCTCTGTTGCTTCCTTTCCTCAGTTCCCCCTCCCTCCCCCTTTTTTTTAATCAGTAAATAGCTGCCTCCCACTGCAATTTCCAGTCAAGTTTTCTTTTCCCAACCACACAAGTGGCTGTTCTAACCTCATGGACAGACTTACATGTTTCACTTAGTGACTCCTGCTGTCTTAATATTTCATACATTTTGCAACCATTTACAGATCCTCTTGATTATTCTTTATAAGAAAATGAGAAAATCTAAAAAAAGAAAAAAAACCCCACTTAATTCACCTCAGGTGTCAAAGTAGTTTTGTAAGACCGGATTGCACAACATGAGCATACATACGAGTCAACTGGTTTGGATTGTGTCCCCCTTCTCCTTTCTCAGGGATAGATATTTATGTTACACAATAATTACAATGAAGACACACCCTAACCGCAGCCTTACTCTGTAAATACATTTGCACTCAGAAGCTTTTTGTTAGGTTCTTTTACACACTGGGGAAAAACAAACAAACAAGCAAGCAATACAAAACCCAAACCAGTACTGGAATGTAGTACCAGACTCTTCCATTGTTTGTTTTCCTGATTATATACCTACATTGGGAAGTGTCCAAACAGGAGTCTTGTCTTTCTTCAAGCTGCTCTCTGCTTTTTGTAGCAAGCCGTCTTTTCACTTCATGCTGAAGATGCTCCAAAACCAACTTCCTATTGCAAAAATCTCTGTGAGGTTGATAAATGTGTGTGTTTGTTTCATGCTAGACAAAATTCTGAGGAAAAAAATCTAAACAAGATGCCTTAAGTAAAAAACCTAAATCATGAGGAAACATATTTACACTGGGTAACATTTTATTGCAAGGTGGCATGGAATCTCAGAGGTATTCTGTCGTGATTCTCTCCAAGTTGTTAAGCTCTCTGCACTGCCTGTTCAGTATGGGACCAACGGAATATTCAAATCAAGCCACACTGACTTGAACAATTTTCTTTATTAATTTTTTTTAAATGAACTATGGAAATAGCATAGCTGAACCAATGCCCATCAAAACTTTTTTCAAGGTACTTACCTATTGTGCATCTGTATCTTAGCAAGACAAATTGGCTAAGACAGTTTCTGTATCCTGTTACAACACAATTGTGGTTGCTGATAAAAGGAAGTGAAAATCATAAGGTATCTTCTGAGTGACAAAATAAAATATGCATTTTAAAGTTTTAAAATAAAATTACATTTTAGCTCAACATTACTACAAGTTTCTCAAAAATACACATGCCAGCACGAAGTAAGGTGCTCTCATTTCTGAATAACTACTTAATAACAAAAAGGGAATCTTGGCTAGTTTTCAATGACTTTCAAATATTTGACACTAGGAAGTAGATTTTTATGTTTTATATGGTATAAAATACAGCAAAAGACCAGGAGCATTGTGATGTACTGGACACCTCACTGGAAGCAAATATGCTTTCCTTGCTTTGGCTGAGTCTAATGGTGCATATTATAAATTCAGGTCCTTTTGATTCTGGAATTTTTTGGGTTTTCTTGTTTTTACTGTAGGGTATAAATGTAGCATGGTGAAAAGAAACTGTACACCAAACCTGCCATTTGATATCAAGTGAATGCCTCCACATTCCAAATGAACCTGTATCTTACTTGCTGCTTTGCATTGATCCAATTTTGCAAGTTTGTATTGTACTGTATATTAACTGTACAGGCTAATACGGATTTCCAAGTAGTTTTATAGGTACTTCCATAACATTTACGTTATTCCTAATACTATGCATTCTATTAGTTGTATGGATAAATACTTAAAGACAGTTCAAAGTGCAGATATTTCAGTATTTTTTCACGTTAATTTGCTTCAGATTTCACCTCTATAAAATCACAATTTTCCCCTTTTGAATTGGAAGTCATGGAGGCACAATTCTACTGTTTCATTTCACAGAAAATGAAAGAACATTGTAAAGTTTTTTTTGTAAGACGACAAATATTGTTGAGTTTGTGTGGTAAATTGCCTAGCCACTGTGAGTTAGGCAGAAGCCAGATCTGTTTACCTCCATAGACTTCCTCTTTTCTTTTTTTTTCCCCGCTAAATCTCATCTACTGAGATACAGAATTTTAACAACTTGATACAATTCAGGTAACAATAATTCATGTTCCAATCGCTTCTGTGACTGCTAAGTGTTCTTGTGCTGTAGCTAGTAAAGAGGCATTTAAGATAACTAGCGAAAGGAATACTACAGGTCAGCTGTGTCTTGTGCACATACTTCAAAGCAAGTCATAAACATATTTCTCACTATTGTTATACCTTAGTAGAGGGATATGGGAGGGGAGTAGAACAAAATCAAAAGGAGAACTAAGTATCAGCAAAAATAATAGGTTACATGTTCTCAGTTTATTGTAAAATCATCCTTCCCAACAAGATCATAATTTAATCTGTAGCAAAGGAGGAACCACTCCAGTCTATGTATTTAGGGCACAATAGTTCAGCATGAATCAGTAGGTACATTACAAACAAGTTGTTTTAATAGCCTGGAGAAAGAATATTTGCACCAGGTTTTTTTACTACTGAGATTATGGGATATAAAGATAATGGGACAACCTATTCTGAGACACACAAGAACTATGTAATCTTTAGCTCGAACAGTCAACTAAGCATTTTACATATATTCCTCAGAGAGAGTACCAAAAATTCTTCAAGGTTAAGCAAAAAAAAAAAAAGGTTCAAAGTTGAATTTCCAGTTCAGCCAGTTCATCTAATGAGAAGGCTATGAGACTATATATAGCCACCATAGCTACACTTTCAGAAAATTCTCTGAAATTTGGCATTAAAACTTTTTTTTTTTTTTACATCTTAGCTGTAAATACCTCAGAGTGTGTTAGGCTGACAGTCAAATTACTGTATTTTAAAATCCTAGCTAGAGTTTCAAATATCTCCATTAAATGTTTAATACATGATAGCTTTAGGATAAAATGATGAATTCCAAACCACTAGTAGTTTCCAAAACTGAATGTGAACGAAACTTCTCTTAATATTTTCATACAGAAAGAGAGTGTTTGAGGTTTGAGTGCTGGGTTCTAGCAGATGCTAGAAAAGAAGCAGAAACACTAGCAAGGTCATAAGACCTCATTCTCATGATTGTTCCTCCTGAGTTTTGCAGATATGAGAAATCTGAAAAGCTCAAATTATGGTTTGAAATCTGGGTGCTTATCCAAAATAACCTCAGATTTTTACCTTTTTGTTGTTTCACCCAGCAGTGTAACCTAAAACAGCCTCCTGGCATAGCAACAAACACTGCACACTCAGGAAATACTGCTCTGGCAAGGTGCAGATTTCTTCACAGTCCTCCATTTACAGGAGTGTGCATCTCTCCTTCTGGCTCCTCCTTTCCCCATGCAATCTCTTGAGGTGAATCCCCACAAGCTACAAAATTGCTTTATTTTTTTTTCTTCTTTTAAATTCAGAATACAACAACAGGTTTATTATTACTAAGAAAGCCCCGAAGGTTTGTTTTTCTCCAGCCATGATTCTAGCTTCCTCTCTAAGAGTTGAGCTTCACTGCCTTGCTATAGGAAATGGCTGCAAGTTAAAATCATCACTTCACTACCACCACTGAACTGAAACTAAAGATGCTCTTAGAAACTCATTGACCCCTTCCTTCCGTTAACCTCATCCTGTGCAAAGGCCTAAAGTGCATTAATTGCCATGTGAATTCAGTTTTCATCCTACTTCTTAGAAAGCAGTCCTAGTAAACTCCTGGCAGCTAGATTTTATTGTGAGAATTGTTTATATCTGCAAATTAGTTGTTCCTTGCTTTTATAATATATGCATAGTATCTGTTTACATTACATAACTACAAAGGTATATATTTATAATAAGTCATCAGAAGCCTCTGTTTGATGGTTAACACCTAATTCCCACATGTAGCCTACCCTCTTTACTGCATTAACCCCTGCAATAACTTTTAGCTATGAGAGCCTCTGTACACCTTTAAAACCTGATGACCTTCTATCCAGATGTTCAGCGCTTTCCGTGTTCCACACAGCCAAGCAGTCAAGGGCTGTGTGAGGAACTTACCTCTTTCTAGCTATTCACATTCACACTGCTTTTCTCCAGTTCTTTGCCATGAGTGCTAGAATTTGTACTGTGTGAAGCACATTGTTATTTTGAGGAACATGGTTTGTGAAGAAAGAATAAGGAAAATGAACTCTGCATACATAAAGCTTGCCTTTTCATTGCCATTTGATTTACTTAATTTCATCAGGTGATGCCTACAAACTGACTTTCAGGTGCTCTTTTACTCCATCACACCATCTATTTATGCATTGGGTGCTAACAAATAGTCTATGTCAGTGACTGGTATGATGAACATCTGTGTTTTTAACTCTTTTGGGGATAAACCTATAGCCTTAGGTTGAAGAAAATAACCAAATTATACTTGTTTACCCCATAAGCCAGAATATAGAATGCAAAAGCCCATCCACTGGTATACGTTTTAT